CATCCCGGCCCTAGCCATGTGAATTCTTGCAACCTGGTGAAGGCAATTTAGGACATGAATTTTTAATGCCATTTAAATAGCCACATGTGACTACTGGCTGTGCACTCAACTGTGCAGTTCCAGTGTTTCTTGAATCAAAAACCAGTGGTTTCCTTAGGGGACTCCTCCAATGACTGCTAAGGGGTTGAAAGTTAAGGTTGGAAAAAGAGGAAAGCTCTTAGGAGATTTCTCTGGCCACTTAAGATCTGAAATTCTCCACAGCTTTTGGAGGCAGAGGCTGGAAAACCCACTAGGAAGAGTGTAAGGGAAGGATGCTTGAGCAAAATTCAGTACATTTGTCCTTCCACCTCCCGCTAATGCCAGTGGGAGTAAAAGGCCCACGACTGTGGTCGCTCAGGAGATGCTTATAATTACACAGAATCAGGTTGGGTCCCTGGGGCCATCTGTGCATGGAAATCGCTGCCTTGGAGCTGGTGGAGAGGTGGAGGTGGTGTTCATTTGTGGATGGAGTTTGCAGAGCCAGATGAGGGTTTAGAGGCAGAGGGACCCGAGGGCCCATACTGGCCACCTGCCGACTGAACAGACCCTTTCCACTTTGGGTTACGGTCTTGTTCTTGGTCTTGAACACTGTGCGTGGCTCCCGCTTGTTCGTGAAGGAGTTGGTCTCTCCTGTGAGCAGGTCTGTGTTGTAGGTGAGGGGTTGTACAAGCAGAACCACCGCTTGGCCTGTGGGCCGATGCCACAGCTGGTTCAGGCATACTGCCACTGGGGCAGGCCCGGGTGGGTGATGAGCAGGCGCTGGTGGGCAGTAAAAGTGTCTGTGAGAAAATGCCGATACAATGCTCTGTCCAGGAACCAGACCTCAGCGTCTTGTGCTAAGGCTGCTTTCCCAGCTTTGCAGACAAGGCAACCTCTCCCATTCCCATTCCCCGAATCCAGCTCAAATATCACTTCGAGAGTCAAAATGAGGCTTCTCTGGCGGGTCTCCGCCGGCTTCATATGCATCGTCCTGAGGGTCTGCCAGAGTTGGTGCGTTGGGAAGTGAGTGCACAGAAGACCGGTTGAGCTCACTTAGCTCTGAGACGCTGTTCACTGCCACGTTGCCCCGAGGAACGATGGGCTCCCCTAGCTTCAGGTCATGAGGAAGCCTCTGGTCCCCAGGTCAAAGTTCTTTCTATCCTCAGGCATCATACAGTTACTTGATGATGCTCACCTCTGTCCCACCTGGAGAAGATCCCAGGAGGTGGGTGACGCCACAGGCCAGCTTCTCCAGGTGCGGCTTGTGGCAGCTCAGCGGCGGGGGCGGCCTCTGCTCCTTGGCTCATGTCCCAGCTCCGAGGGCAGCGGAGGAGGTCGGGGGACCCGCTCTGGTCGGGCAGAAAGAGCTTGTAAGAATGCAGAAGTGAACAACACCCAGTTGGGTTTGTCTCTGAAAAGCTAAGGCTAGCATTCATTTGAACAAAAGACTCAGTGGAAACCTAGAGAGACCCAAGCGTGGGAAACAACGGCAGTGGTGCAGGAAAAGAATGAGACAAGGTCTGCACAGCAGTAGGTCGGGGGACCCGCTCTGGTCGGGCAGAAAGAGCTTGTAAGAATGCAGAAGTGAACAACACCCAGTTGGGTTTGTCTCTGAAAAGCTAAGGCTAGCATTCATTTGAACAAAAGACTCAGTGGAAACCTAGAGAGACCCAAGCGTGGGAAACAACGGCAGTGGTGCAGGAAAAGAATGAGACAAGGTCTGCACAGCAGTAGAGCTGAGCCGCAGTGTGGTAGGTGTGTAAGCATAATCCAGTCAGTGTGAGATCAGGAGAGACAGAGACTCAAGAGGAGGCCAGGTCTGGTGCCTGGGAGCTGGCTGTGCTCACTTTATGGAGAACAGGAGAGCTGGGGATCGGTATCCGGATGAGACCCGCTGTGTGCGAACTCCCTGCAGGCCTTTGCAGAAGGTGCTCTGGCAGCCTGCAGCTAGGGAGAGGCTCTGCTGAACACAGATTTGAGAAGATGAGCCATGTCTTATAAATATGGGAGGAGATGGAGGAAGTCGGAATTGAACTCCAGAGGGGTCAACAGCCAACTAGCAGGAGTGGAAAAGAAGTCAGAGAATAAGATTCCGAAAGTCAGGAGAAGACACAGGGCAGAAATTCTCACAAAGACAAAGTGGGCAGCCAGATTTCAAAGAGGGCTTCGGACAGTTGTCAAAATGACCACAGTAAAACAAACTACCATTTGGCTGGACAATTTGAGATGCCTGGTGACTGGAGGGCAATATCGTGAATCCGAAAACTAGATTACAGAAGATGGGAAGAAATCAACGGTAAAAGGCAACTGATAAATTTCTGACAGCTGCGATGAAAAGAAAGCACAGAGGGAGGTTTGCAGCTTGGGAAGGGGCTAGAGGGAAGAGGATGCTCTGCTCTGAGTGTCTCCTGCCTTCTCTCCGCTGCTCTGTGACAGTGATTCCCTGTCTTTCCAGTGGTCCTCTTTCTTGGTCCCTTTGCACTTTTTCTGGCTCCGCCCCTTGCTGTAAGTCTTTCTTCTTCTCAGGCATCCTGTTAAGTTCCCTGCTCAAGTCCAGGCAGGAATGCCTGAAATTCATCAGCCTGGGGAAGACCCATGCTCAGAACAGGTTTGAGGATTTGCAGGTGGAAGGGCCAGAGACACTGGCTGTCAAGGAAACTGACCCGCCCAGCAGCATCCCGCTAACCTCCGGCGCAGCTGTGTCCCCGAACATGCAGCAGACCAACCTGCTCTCATCGTTCTTGTGCCCACTTTCGCCTCCAGCCATCTTCCTTTATTTCTCACTGGTTTCCTTGGCCTCTCCCTTTTTCTGCTATGCATTTCCTAACTGCGTTTGAAAATCCTCCCTGGCATTATACAGTTTTTATTGAGATGAGATACTTTTTGTGAGTTCTGTCCTCCTCCACAGCCAACCCCCATTTCCAAACATTCCCTTTAAAGGAACAAGTCTGTTTCACTCTAAAAGTTTTGGGAATAATTACCTCAGAGGAAAAGAGTAGAATTTAAATTCTGGTTTAGCCTCCATTTGGCCTTACAAATCTCATGAAAGACCAAGTTGATTCCACTTACAAGCTGCAGTTTGGGGGAGAAATGGAAACAACTACAGCTTCATGTATTGCACACTTGACGTTTATTTTCCAGTGGCTCAAAGTAAGTGAAAGTCTTATAAGTTACTTAGGTAGAACTATCCCTTTGTGTTTTCCCAGTGTCATATATATAATTTTTTTTTATACCGGGGATAGAACTCGTGTCCTTGCACTTTCTAGGCAGGTGGCAGCACCACCCAGCTAAATCCCCAGCCCCCTATTTTATATTTTAAAAACACTTGCTGTTACATTTCTATAAACCAATCCTGCCTGTCTTGGAAAAAATTCCATATTACTCAGAGCAGCCCAAAATCATTCTCTGCCAAACCATGGAGGTGCCTTGCCCACTTGAGAAATTGACAAATGTCAACCCCAGAGCACAGAGGAGCCCAGCTCCCCGGCCTGTGCCCGGCTGCTCCAGGCCCAACACCCACAGCAGGTGCCCCCCCCAACGCCCAAAGCCCAGTTTGAGAACTGCAGGCTTCGCCACTGTTCCAAATCCAGAAAGCCACAGTCACTGGTTTGCAATATATTTCAAACATTCAAGTAGCCTAAGGAAATGAGGTTGATGGAGACGTTAGTAATTTGTCCCTCCTAATCCCCAGTGTTTATTTCGTATGACTGAACAGTTTCAGTGTGCCTTCCTGGAGAATTAGCAAGCCAGGAGAAACACGGGGGCCCTGCTCACCCTGGTTTGTGATTTCTTGTGGAACAACACCACCTCCTGGTTATTCTGGTTTTGGGCCAATTACAGGAGATGACTGAAAGTATTTGATTCCCTAGTCCCGCATTTTACTTTATTGCCATGGCTACAGCTGGAGTATACCAGCATAATTTAAGTATAATCATCTTCCTGAGATAGCTGTTCATCTATGACCTCGTTCTTTGCCCCGAGATCTCATTCTTATGTTTTATCATGCACCTGTCACAGTAGGTAGTGTACAAAGGTGTTCAAGTAGTTTTTGTTTGTCTCACTATTTAATGATGATCTACTTAATGATGGTTTTTAATATAATTTTCTTCTTCACCTTTCATAGAATTCAGTATCACTCATGCAAATATATGTAACAGAATGTCTAATAATTTATTGAAACTTAATATGACAAAGGAGGGCGTCTCATCTTTTTGTCTTACAAAATCTGTAGCCCTAGTAATTCTGAACTCCTGAGATAGATACTTAAAGACATAGTGTTTCCTACTTCTTAGTCTTTTCCTCTTTGAGATGATAATGGTGTCTTATTTCTTCTGGTGCTAATGTCTTTCTTGTCCTCTTCCTTCTCTGCTGAATTCCTGGTTCTGTGGTAATTAAACTTACACCTCTGTTGTAGCTGTGTTTCTCAGCCCTTCTTCGTATGCAGATTGTTTTCTCCTTTACATCGCAGCACGCATGCTTTTCTCCTTGAATTCCACTGAACATCATTTCATTCATGATAGTGAAAGTCTGGAAACAATGCCCATACCCAGCTGGCAAGGAGCTAAATGCTTCTGTTTACAGAAATGGATAAATTATTGTCTATCTATGCAATGGGATATTAAGCAACCATTAAGGACATTGGTTTGCAAACATAAAATAATACTAAGTTAAAAGCAAATTTAAAAAGTCAGTGCAATCCTATTTTTTGAAATATATGTATGAGCAAAGACCAGAAAAATAACACCAAAATATATACATAGGGTAACACATGATGGGTCTTTTTATATTTTTCTAACCCGTTCTTATACTGCGCTGATGTTTAAGAAAGGATAAATTATTAATTTAAATGTTTAAAACTTAATTTTAAATGCTTTCTTTCTTGTCTCAAAATAGGCAACTGCCCTTTAGCACCTACAAATGAAGAATTCCATTCTCTACTTGGTGAAATATTTGAAAGAAAAATGCACATGTGATTACTTGTCCAGCTCAGTCCACGACAGGCCATTTCCTCTGGACGAGCCCAGCACAGCGACTTTCATACGGCGGCTCACACTGAAGAGCTTGCTCGTTCTCACAGCTGCGGACCACTCCGGTGGCTTGGCCTCTTGGAACGGAGCCCGACGGACAGCTCACAGGAGGAGAATACAACCGCGGGCTGCTTTCCCCCGTCCATCCCCGTCCCACGCAGGTGGCCGTTCCGTCGTGGTGAACCGAGTCCGCGGCCACAGTCCCTGGTCACGCCTGCCGCTCTCCACATTCCGCTTTCGTGTTGTTGCTTTGCACTCCCACCGACAGCCTGTAGCAACTGTGGCGTTAACAATAGCAATGCAGAGAAAAGAGAAGAGAAGATACCAAAAAGGAAGGGGAGGAATTGGGAAAAATAATGCATTAATGCACATTCTGAACATTTCACTCGTGCTCAGCACTGACTTCATACATTTCCACACTTACTTTCCACAACCACCTTACACACTAAAATAGCCTCATTATCTCTGATTACAGATGAGGAAACTGAGACTCACGAAAGGTCACCCGAGGCCCATTGGTAGGGAGAATCACGTGCACAACCACTCTCATGTAACAGCCAGCCATGCACCATGAAGCATTCCAGGTAGTGCCCTGTATGAAGGCTCTGAAAGATCTGTAAGAGAAGGACAGAGATCTGATTGGAATGTGTGTGTGATAAATCAACCTTTCCTTAGTCTTAGATCTCAAAATGCAAATTCCGTGATGTCCTCATGCAGAGAAAACAAGCTCTAGTGACCCAAGTTTTGCAAGAGAATAGCACATGTGAGAGACCAGGCAAATACCAGAGCTTGGCTCTAGTTCAGCCTCAGTGAACATCAGGACAGTTACATCTATCACTGGGGTCAGGAATACCTTTTCTTTTCTCTCACTGAGTTTATTGGTACATTTTCGGGACACAGGACAGTTACATCTATCATTGGGATCAGGAATACCTTTTTTTGTGAGAGTTCTCAGACTGTACCTACACCAGTCTTCAAGCTGTCCCCTCGTTCCCTCCTGAGTCACTCTCTGGTGTCATGATTTCTCCCATCCTAAGGTGTGGGGGGTGGGGTTGACCCAGGACAGTGCTGTCCAAGTTACATTACAGTAGAATGAATCCATTCGACATACAACAGTGTGTCTAATACGCTGAAAACTATTAACACAGATACTAAAACACGCAGTGTCCCTGCCCTTCCACGGTCAGTCCTCCAGAGCAGGCAAGCAGATTTTGTTCAGCAAAAGTTCAGAGAAAAGGGACTGGAGACAGCAACTGGTGGGCCGTGGGTGTGGGGGGCACTGAGAACAGCTCCCCAGGAAGACGGATTCTGAAAACTTCACTTCTTGGTCACAACTAAGCATTTGTGAACCCAGTAATGATACGAAAGGCATTAAATGTCAGGAAGGGAATTGTTTTAAAAAATTGAGAAAGTTCCTTTGACTCAAAAAGAGCAAATCATTCCAAATTTCTAGAGGCTCTGGTACGTTTGGGAAAATAGAGGAAAAGCAAAAACGAAGAAGTTGGGAAAGGGCAAATGAAGATGAACCTGATCCCCCCCATAAAAGATTCCAGGGCTTCAGGCCAAAGTGGGGAGTTGGGAAGCGTCAGCCGTGAACTGCGTGATCCTGGAGAGTGTAGAAACGTTACGCCGAGGTTGTACTATGCAGAGTTTGTAAAAGAACAGAGGAAATGCTTTGCCATCCTGCCAAGTGGCGATGCAGAATTATGTGCATATATGAATTCTAAACATGATGTGTGCAGCATTGTTAGAAAGAAAAGTCAAGACAAAAAGATGATACAAAAGGGAAATACCAAGATTGCAGTAATGACTAATTTTGGTGCTAGGGTGATGATTAAACTAATCTAATAAATACATATTGCATATGTTTAAATTTCATTTTTACAAAAGATGTAAAACTCTGCTGCTGTCTTTGTAAAGAGCCAAAAAGTAAAGCAAGTTTGTCACTTTTATTTCATTGTGTATGTGTTGAAATTTAATATCGTAGCACTAGACTGATGTGTCTTGAAAAACAGTCTTTATTCCCTGTGAATTTAGTGTTGTATTTGAAACCTGAGGTTCCTGTTGTCAGCGTTGTTTTTCTTCAAATGGTGTTAGAAGTGGACTGGAATCATAATTTTTGGAGCGAGACAGTATGGTTTATAAAAATCCAGAGACAAAGTGAAGCTAACGTGGGTTTATTTCCAGATGTCTGCTCCCTAGGATGTTGCCTGATTCTCCTGGAAAAGGGCGGTCACCATGACGACCCACAGCTGCATCAGGTTCCAGTGGAGGCGGAATAACATGGGTGATGTGGATACATTTCAGCCAATGGGCTGCAGTTAATTGTTACAATGAATACTCACAACCTGAGAAACAGCATGGAGAACCAAGCCATTCTCGCATATTTGGTAGAGCTTTACTCCCAGGTTCATCATTCTGTAAGGGTGGTTTGGATTATGCTCTCCCGAGATATTTCCTAACATCAGGATGCAAATGTCTCTCTTACTTCCTGCCCTGTTGCATGGACTTGTAATGTCTTCCTGCTGTGACTACTCCACCATCTTTCTGTTTCTTTGCCTGGAAATTGGTGACTCATCTGAAAGTTTATGAATTGTATTCCAAATGTAACTCTTTGTGATTGTTTACCGCTATAAGAAAGATAGGACATCCAGTTTTCCCAGCTCCATTTATTAAAGGAGCTGTCTTTCCTCCAGTGTAGGTTTTTGATCCCTTCCTCAAAGATCAGACAGTAGAATGTACCCACGGGGTGGGGGGGTCTGCAGTTTCTGTTCTATTCCATTGATTAAAATATGGAGGGGAGAGGAGGGAAGAGAAAGAAAATGGATAAAAAGCAGAATTAAGATATGTTACATACCTGTATCAACTCTTCACAAAGAATGTAAACATTTTGGGCTGCACACAGGTAGTAAAATGAAAAAGAAAGTTAGGAGACCCGGATGGTCTAGTCTCAATGTTGCTGCTCCCCCCACAAACACTGGAGAAGGCATTGACAAATTTGTAAAGTAGCCTCAAGTCTGATGCTTAATTTTTTTCATTAAGTTTACTGGTACATTTTAGTACACAGTACAGTTACATTCCTCGTTGGGATCTTGAACCTTTGCATGCTGTATCTTGCTTCTTAGCTTTTCGCTGTTCCCTTGGCCTCCCTTCACCCGCCTCCACCCATCCTTGCTTACTAGGACTTTGTTTGCGTTTTTTCTTTTTCTCACATTTATTCCATTCCCTTCTTGCCTTTTCCCGATCCCTCCCACTTCCCCTTCCCCTTTGGATCTTTTCTTCGTATTCCACATTATCTATCATACATTTTGATCCTTATTTAGGATTAGAAGTCCCATCCGACCCAGCTATTCCCCTGCTGAGTATCTTCCCAAAAGAATTAAAAGGATCATACCACAGCGATATATGTTTATAGTGGCACAGTCTAGCTAAAGCTTGGAAACAACCTAAATGCCCATCAACGGGAGACTGAATAAAGAAGTATTTTTAACAAAGTGGAGTACTACTCAGCCTAAACAATGAGAAACTAGAGACATTTATAGCTAAATGGATGCACATGGAAGCCACACTCTTAAATGAAATAAATAGGACTCAGGTGTAATGGCCGACTAGTTTCTCTGCTGTGAGAAACTAATGCTTAATTTTTAAACACATAGCACAAAGAGGGTGAAAAAAGTTTTCATTTGTATGGTTTATTCTGCCTCAAAAGCAACAATGTGCCTAACCTCACGCAGAGTCAAAGTCAAGGATGAACTTCTGCTTAGGGGTACGGAGTCTGGGACTCCACGCCACACTCTCGCGGGCTTGAGCCTCGGAGGCTCCTCTTCTCCAGCTCAATGGCAGCTCTACAGAGCAACCCACTAGCTCCCCCGTGTGGCAGGACTAGGTAACAGCCACTACTCTCTGCAAGTTTCCCCCTGGTCTCTGCATGGCTGACTTCCCTTAAGCCTCTGGTTGTTTTTGTTAACTTAGTAGTGAGTTCTCCCCGCCCATATTATGTAAAACAGGAACTTCCCTAGCGCCCCACTTTTCACGCAGAGGTTTTCATCAGTAGAACGCAAACTCCACGAGAGCAAGGAGTGGTACAGGTCTTGCTCACCCTCCTAGAGTCCATAAATAGCTCATCACATAGTATATGCTTAAGAAATATTTATGGCAAAAATGCAGCAGTTTAAATTAGGGAAGCTATTTCAAAGTGCAGTACTTGCTAAAAAACAAAGTAAATATGGCTTAATTGAGAAAATAAATATTGGATGAAGTTGTTTTTATTGTTTGTTTGTTTGTTTTGTTTTTGGCACCGGGGATCAAACTGAGGCCCTTGCACTTGCAAGGCAAGCGGAACCACTGAGCCAAATCTCTGGCCCTAGATCTAGTTATAGTAAAATTGTAATGTAATATCACAAAGTAAAGGAGTTTTTCTTTGAGTTAATGAGGATAATTGAGAAGAAAGAAGAGAATCAAGTGGTTAACACTAACTCTCAGGTGAGTAGTAGAAGTTTTTGTCAGCAAAGATCTGGTCTCGGAATTTTATGGTTTAGGAAAGTAGGAGCAGATGGTATTTTGCCTCCCATGTAGAGAGTTGTGAATCACACGGAACCAAAGTTACCATGATTCTGCTATTAGTGGGGAGCAAATGAACATAAAGAGGATATGTGTGAGTTAGGCTGTTTAAAATCAGCAGTTTTTTATGGTAGGTAAATTAAGGAAAAGCCTAAAACAGTAGAGATAATGCTACGTGAAACCAAGTAATTCTAATCATTGTCTAATGGTTGGGGTGGACGTGAGACATGATGGCGCCCACCTGAAATCCCAGCTACCTTGGTAGCTAAGGCTGAAAGCCAGCCTGAACAGCTAGCAAATCTCTGCATCGAAGTAAAAATAAAAATGGCTAAGAATGTAGCTTAGCACTCCCTAATATCAATCCCCAGTGTGAGATAGATGACAGATAGGTTTAGATTGATTGATTGATTGATTGGCAATCAATACCTGTCATTATAGAGACTCTGTGATGCTCAGATTGATGATAATTTCCAGGGTCACGATTTAGGGGTTCATGCCACTCTCTTGCTATGATTATGAGATTGTACACTTAGTAAATGAAATATACTAAGTCAACCTCAGTTATACAGAAACTAAGGCTTATCTTGAAAGGCTTTGACAAGTGTCATTTGAAAATTCTTCATTCCAGAAATGGAAGAATTTTCAGAAGGTAGCTATGCAGCTCCTGCCAGCAAGTGGGTTTAGCTGATGGTGGGGCTCTCTATCCTCTCACAGAGGGCTCACCTGGAACTGGAAAATCCCTAGAAATAGAAGCTGCATTGCCAAGCACAGGCAGAATATGGTTGTAAGGCAGAATCGGTTCTGTTTAGTATTGTGTGAGTACCACAGTTGGGAGAAGAAATAAAGAAAAAATGTCTGCCATTCTTAAAGGTAGGTCAAAGGTACCATTCTCAAAAACTTGGGAAGAGGCACCAGCCCTGAAGGCTACACCTCAAAAATAGAAAGTCTGGGCCAGGGATTTAGCTCAGTGGTGCCACCACCTGCCTCATAAGCTCAAGGACCCAAGTTTGATCCCCAGTACCCACCAAAATAGAAAGTCATAGCAGAAAATCAA